ATCAAACGGGGAAACCGGAGTCCCGAAGTGGGCAATTTCCAACGGGTAGCCGGTGGGTGGTGGACCACCCGCCGGCGTCAGGTCTCCGGGCAGCGGGTGCCCGGCGGGCAGTCGCCTGCCCGCCGGCTGCCCACTGCCAACGACGTCTTTCTCGGGCAGCGGGTAGGTGGTGGGTCCCCCTACCCCCACTGACTTTTTACCAAAATAAACGTCCCGGGATCCGTTGTGGAACCCGAAACCATGCTTAGACACTTTTAAACGCAATTGACGACACCACGTATACAATTAACGGATCAAAAGCAAGAATCATATAACACATATCCTATCATGACTTCTAAACATAATCAACACCCGAACATGCGAAATCCCACCCAATTATATCAAGAATAACACAATACGAAATTCCCAATTTTAACCTAGGGCTCTAATCATATTCAAATTAATAAAATCATAGTTCTTCAAAACATCAAGATTCATCAAGAACATCACATAATCATCAAGAACCTCTTTATCATCATCAAGATCATCAAGATCACACATAAAATCATCCCACAATCATCAAGAACATATCATCAATATCGTAAACGATTCATCAAGACACAAGTATAGAGAGGAGGCCAAAGAAGATAATTATAGCAAGGAAAATAGGTTTTGTTGAGACATGGGTTACCTCTTAGCCTTAATTAATTTCCTTGGCTATGAAGGGTCTTTCTTTAAGATTCCTTCTTTCTTGATTTCTCCTAGGGGATTCTTAGAACTTCTTGTGTGGTGAGAGATTATTGTGGTGTGGGTTCTAGATGCCTCCTATGCCCCCTATTTATATACCTAAGAGTCCCTAATCAGGGTTAGTTCTATTCCTTCTAGAACTAGGGGATTGGGTTTAGGGATAAGGGCCCATGGACTATGGTGGGCCTTTTCTTAATTAATTATTGGAATTTAGTCCTTTCTTTTGGGTAATTGATTAAATGATTAATTGGTTTTAGGGGCCGTAACACGGGGTGTTACAATCGAAGATATGTTGAGAGCTTGTATGCTAGATTTCCAAGGGTCTTGGGAGGACCATTTGGATTTAATCGAGTTTTCTTACAACAACAGTTATCATTCGAGCATACACATGGCGCCTTATGAAGCCCTCTACGGTCAGAAGTGTCGCAGTCCGCTATGTTGGGAGGATTTAGTCAACCCGATAGTGTTGGGACCGCAATATTTGCTTGACACAACCGAGAAGATTAAATAGATTTAAGGAAGGATGAACGCGGCTCAAGATCGCCAAAAGTCCTACGCCGATATGGCTAGAAGGCAAGTGGATTTCTCGGTTGGGGATAAAGTTTGGTTGAAAGTATCTCCCACCCGGGGAGTGATGCGGTTTGGAAGAAAAGGAAAGTTGAGCCCCAGGTTTATAGGTCCGTATGAAATCCTTGAGATGGTTGGAAGTTTAGCCTATCGCCTAGTGTTGCCCTTGGAATTGGAGAGGGTGCACGACGTGTTCCACGTATCGCAGCTCAAGAGATATGTTCACGACCCAGCTCATGTCTTATCATCGGAAGTGATACCGCTGGATGAGGACTTGACCTATGAGGAAAGGCCGCTCAGAATTCTGGATTTCAAGTCTCGGGACACACGTAGGAAGTCTGTAAAGATGGTGAAGGTTTGGTGGACGCATCACGGGGTTGAGGAAGCTACTTGGGAGCTGGAGTCCACCATGTGAGAGCAGTATCCAGAGTTGTTCTCGGCAGGTACCACATCTTCGTTGTTTGTTGCTTGCCTTGTGTACTTGTTTGTTGCTTGTTGCTTGGTTGATTAGTTAGCTTAGTAGTTGGTGTTGGTTGTCTAGTTCTTGGTTGTTGTCCAGAAGTCAGTGTTTGTGTTGAGGCTAGAGTTCTTGATGCTCAATCTATCCGTTTGTTAAACTTTTGCCAATCCTTGATTTGAAACGCCTTCTTTCTTGCTTTGGAATACTTCATTGCCTTGAAATCTTGTGGAATCCTTTGGAGTCTTTGACCAAAAGAGTTTGCTCTTGAACCTCTTGTCACAATGTTGTTTCTTTTCACCGTTTGCCTTTAATTCGTCGTACCCAAGCTTCGGGGACAAAGCTTCTTTGAAGGGGGAGAGGATGTGAAACCCCGAAATCCAAATTCAATTAAGGGATTAATTAATTAATTAATCCTATTTCAATTTGTAATTTAATTCCCTAAATTCCTGAAATTTAATAGTTGGGGACTAGTAATTGACTAGTCAACCCCAAAGTCAAAGTTGTACATTGAGCTTTGTAAGGAATTCCCTTGTTCCTTACACTTCCTTATGTTAGTAAGGGTATTCTTGACCTTTCACTTGTTGTTGGTAATGTAACCTAACCTAGTAAGACCACCTTCATTCTCTCCTTACACTTTTCTAAAAATCTAACTCCACCTTCTCTCTAAAAAGGTGAGTAGCTTTTCTTCCAAGCCAAGTTGGAACCTTGCCAAAACTTCAAGAGTTGCTTCCAAGATTCAACCTTTCTTATATTTGGGCATCTAGGAGGTTAAGATCTAAGTTCATCTTGTGTTTTTGGTTTTATCTAAGGTGTCTTTTCTTAACGATAGGATCTTTATGACCTTTTGGTATGTTCTTAAAGTGGGTTTGGAGGGTGAGCCTTGTGAGGAGCTTGTTGAGGTGTAAAGTGAAGTCTTTAGTCTACAAGAGGTAACACATGCTCTACAAAACCTATTTTGCTTACCTATATGTGATTTCTTGGGTTCTACATGTGTTTTGCTATGAAATGTAAGTGTTCATGCATGCTCTTGTGAAAATGCATATCTAGAGCTTGTGTTTAGGGTTCTTTTGTGCCATTGCTTGGCATTTCCTTTGATTCAAGTCATTTTGTTGTATTTGGTGAGATTTGGCATGTTTTGGACTTGAATTTGAGTTTGGAGATGAAAATCTGCGAAGTGTTGTATTGTGGTACAGGACGTGTACCCGCGGGTGGAACGGCGGGCGGGGCACCACTCGCCGCCCCACCCGAGGGCGAAACCACGGGCGGGGCACCACCCGTGGGCCCACCCACGGGTACATATGTTGGTTGTGCGGGGATTTGTTCCCCGTGATTCTTTGACTCGGTATTTGGTTTTTTGACTTCCCGTTGTTCTTTTGTGGAACTATTTGAGTGTCTTCTTGATGTTTCGTATGTCTAGAACTATATGGTAGGTATCCATGAAGGTTTTGGTGTCTTGAATCGTGCTAAGTGTTCAACATTGTGTTTCGTTGAACCGTGATGAGTCTTGTGTGTTCTTCGGAACTATCTTTGGTTTACCCGTTTGATAAGCATGCTAGTTCGTTGTTTAAATGCTAGCGTGTGTGTTGTTTGTACATTCTCATTGGTTGATGATAACTTGTGTTATTCATCGTTGTTGTTGTTTGGTTGTGACCCATTCCTTGATTGAGTATGGTTTCATACCTTCGTTGTGATCCGTTGATTGATTCCTGTTGTGGTGTGATGTGTGTGTGGGTTTACCTGGATTGCACGATTAGTGGTATGGGACACTAGTCACCAAGGTATTGCAGCGGTCCTCGTGGTGGCCGTGACGCGATTATGGAGTTTGTGGCCTTTGTGTAAGGTTCACGTGTTTATTTCTGTGATAACGTGTGTTATCCAGGGCATGTGTTGCCATGTGTGATCGGTACCTCGTGTACTATGAAATTGGTGGTTTTGTTGGAGGGACTGTTGGAGGGGAAACGACGGTTCCCGGGGGAATAAGGTTGGACTTGGTGTACAGGGGTCCTGGAGGTAAAGGTTGGAACTAGATATAAGGTTGGGGTAGCCATAATGTTGGAACACGGCATAAGGAAGACATATCAACTCGTGATGAGTGATGTCGCGAGGGCTTGTTTAGCCGTGGTTGTGTGTTTTCTTCTTGTGACGTGTGTAGTCACAAAGGCATGTGTTGCCTAGGCATGTGTTTCCATCAGTCTTGTCTTTATCCTTTGTGTTGTGGTTATCCCTTTGTGGTTTTGGGATGTGTTCCCGTATCCTTGTTGAGAGTGTTGAGTCTTGTGTTGACTATTGCTCTTGGTTTTGTACTTATATACTTATGTCTTCCATTTCGAAAACGGCTTTACAGCTTATATCTTACTTATGTATGTTATTTCAGATGTATTGGTGGGTTACCAGCATTATTCGCTGACCGGGCGTCATCCCATATTTTATTGTCTTCTTTCAGGTGATGTCTAGGCGAGTGCGCAGTCTAGTGCTTACTAGTGTAGCTTCTCCCGCTTGTTTTATGGTCTGTGTGCCAGTTTAGTTCTAGACCTTTGACACTATGGATTAGTTGTAAACAATGCAGATATTGCCGTAGCGTTCATCCTTTTTGGTGAACGTGGCATAACACCCCGAGATTTGGATTTATGTTATCTAGTTATCTTTCAGTCTTCCGCTGTGTTGTTGTTTAGTTCAGTTATCTGCATGTTTAAGGCTTTTAACTAGCTTGTTTTTAGGGGGTGTTACACCGCCTCCAAGCTCGTCGCAACGTCGCCGGTGAACTCCACTGTCCATCGCCTCCGAGTTCGTCGTCGGCTGCCTGCTTCGCCGCCTCACTCGCTCACCGACGAACGGTACTCCTCCTCCTCCTAGTACGGCCTTATTTTTCTGTCTTTGGATCTGGGAAGTACAAAATTTGATTTTTGATTTTTGATTTATGATTGCTTTAGCCTTGAGTGTCGAAGAAGACCAAAAAATCAAAATTTTTTGATTGCATTGAGCCCTTGGACTTGATTTCTAATTTTATGGGTTGACTTGATGATTTCTAGTTTCTAAGCTCTTGGAGTCTCACCCGGCTATTATCGCCGCCACTGGGTAGGGTAGGAAGCGACAGTTCTTGATCGGGGTTTATGGCGTTGAAACCCCAAACATAGGGAGAGAGATCAACACCCGCCTTCCTTGCCCAGGAACGAGAAATTCCCAGCGGTAGGTGTAGAGAGAGGCTGAGGACGGTGGAAACAGATACGATTCCGACTAATTTCTCCACTCCAATTATAGGGAAAGTACTAGGTTTGGGTTTTCCGGTTAAGGAAAATGGGTGAAGTAGTGGTGAGCGGCGAGGGCGCCGCCGCCGCAATGGAACTGGAAGTTCAAGAAACAGAGGAGGTGGAAGTGGCGGAGGTTAGGTAGAAGAAGGCTGAGGAACCCCCACGTATTTAATTGATTGTTGTATAAAGTTTCAAAAGTTTATTTTGTGCTTTTTTCCATTTTTATTTGAGGTGTTTTGTGTGTTTTGCAATGATAAATATCATATTTTTAGCAATTGTTGAATAATTTTTGTGTTCTCCCTTGGGATGTAGATAAGGTTCTGAAATCTGAAGATGTAATCAGACAGAGCACCACAAAGAACTCAGCTTTCTCAAAAAAAAAAAAAAAAAAAAAAAAAAAAAAAAAACTTAACTTTCAGATGTTTAAACCATAAAAAAATTTCTCAAAATTTTACATTAAATGGTGGCAATATAATGTCTTTTTCAGCTTCTGCATCATCCATGGTGAATTTCAACGACGGTGGAGAGATGGAATGCGGCAGCAATGAGGACTACGGTGGTGACGGTGGGTTGAGAAGAAGTGGCGGCTCAACTCTGAGTAAGTCCATTTTCTGGAGCAAAGTTTTGAGGTGGAAAACAAGCTTGAACCAGAGAGGAAAGTCCAACTGGCTAAGGACTTGGGGCTGCAGCCTAGAAGGTTGCGGTTTGGTTCCAAAACCGGCGTGACAGATACAAGACAAAACATATTGAGAAAAAATATGATGCCTTGAAGTCTGGCTATGATAAACCCAAAGCTGATTGTGATTCCCTCTCCAAGGAACTCAAATGACATATCTACCCTGCTTTTGACGGCTTAGACGGAAGGATAGCAGCAGGTCAGATTTTGCAACTCGGAGGACCACATATGATAATTACGAAAGTTAGGGACTATAGATGGTGAAACCACCAAACTCGAGGAACCTTAGATGGTATTTACTCAAATTATAATTAATGAAATTATATTATAGAATTTGTCTATATATATAATTAGGTTCAAATGCGGATGATGCGCCCATGTGCGGAGGTGCGGTGAGATGAGAGCTATTGATCTTGCCTAAATGAATTTATAAGATTAACAATGATTAAAAAATGCGGTGACAATTTGGTTATTTTGCATCTAGGTCAAATTTAAGATGCGTGATTTTCCTTCTTAGGGTGCGTGATTTTTGTGTTGTGTTTAAGGTGCGTCAGTTGTTTAAAACTTGCGTTAGTCTAAAACATTAGGTTCGTGGATTTTCTTCTTAAGGTGCGTCAGTTGTTGAAAGTTAAGGTGCGTCAGTTGTTGAAAGTTAAGGTGCGTTGGTCTACAACTTTAGGTGCGTGATTTTCATTCTTAATGTGTGGTATTTTCTTTCTTAAGTTGTTTTGTTTTCTTTTTTAAGGTGCGTTGTTTTACTTCTTAAGATGTAAAAGTTGTGGGACTTGTAACGAGTTTGTTCGCACTGTGTTCGTCAAATATTAACATTTCAATACGTCTTTCTCCTTAAGCTCCCAGATCAACCCCATTAAGGGAATTTTGCATAGATATTCACGTTTCAATGCTTTGTTAGAAGAGAGAAAATGGAGGAAAGAGAGTGTGAGAGATGGTCTTGCTAGCACCCAAGATTTTGCGCCTCACACATGCGCGCGTAAATATACTTTTTTTTCGAATTTAATTTTATTATTTTATTATTTTTTTCTTCCTTTCATTTCATCTTTCCTAATCACATCTACAAAAACTACACCAAAACCTCCACTATTGAGAGTGTCCTTATATAAAACATATAAACACACAACACATAAAGGATGTATTTGGAATTTACACAAAAAAAAAAAAAAAAAAAAAAAAAAAAAAAAAAAAATCAGCAGTGGATTTACCAGGAACTAGAATTTATACCTTGCACACTTGAAAACATTGAAACTAAAATTAAAATTTAGCAATTAAAACTCGCTTTGTTGGGCTTCTCCCTAAGGAGAAACACCCATTATTAAAATTAAATTAAATTAAATTAAAACTAAACAATTAAAACTCAATTTGTTGGGCTTCTCCCTAAGGAGAAACTCCCTCAAAAAATTGAAGTATGACATTCATTGCGCAATGCACACACGGTAATCTTTGGCAAATAATATCATGCACCACGGTGCATGATCAATTATGCATCGCGCGTCTTTTTTTTAAATGAAAATAAAAAGTGTTTGTTTTCCGCCGTTTCGCACCCTTTTACAAAAAGTAACCATGTTCTTCAGTGTCATTTTGTATACACTGCAGTGTCATTTCAATACAACTACAGTTTCATTTCGATATAACTATAGTTTCATTTGATATTTATAGATTCAAATATGTGAAAATGTTATTTAATTTTATTTTAGATAACTATAGTTTCATTAAAACATAACTACATGATCATTTTGATATAATTACAGCTTCATTATACAATATACACTCAAATATGTGAAATGTTATTCAGTTTCATTTTATATACACTACAGTTTCATTTCACAATAACTACAGTATCATTTTGATATAACTGCAGTGTCGATTTAGATATACTGTAGTGTCAATTGATGTTTAATACACCAAACAAGCGGACTCCGTTTTTTTACTTGAAGAAACGGCGCCATTTTTTACCGCGGTGCGTGTGTGCACCACGGTCTATGATATAACGACTGGTAATCTTTAGTAAAAGGCGAAAGAATAGTTCACTTTGCTTTCATTGCATGGCTGCTTGAGTAAAGCATTGTTGTGGCATCTATTTATAAGGAGCCTGGCTAGTCGCTACTAGTGTGTATGTTGTTTGTCCGATGTGGGAGCGGTAACACTACTTTAACCCAGCTTCTTTTCTATGCTTCCACTGCATCCTCTGTCGTCACCGTTTCTCCTCCGGACAGCAGACAACGCCACTGCCTCCATCGCCGGCGACAGCTTGAGCTCCATCGACAATGATTCAATGACATGTCCTAGTCAACCACAGGTAATTTATTAATTTTAATTTTATCATCAGGGTCTCTGGTTTATTCCCAGTCCTTAAGTTTCCTTCTTTTTTAAAAAAAAAAAAATTATCTATTAATTTACTGCTTTTTTATTGCTGAAATTTATTCTTCTTCATGGAGAGATAATGCTTGCTACTTGTGCTTTCTGAAAGCATGAAACCTGGTTTCTAAAGGGTGAGAATTTATTAAGTTGTTAGTAGACAGTTGGTCTTTTCTCTCTCAAATATTTATGTGGACTGGGTTCATTGCCATTAGAGTTTATTGTCTCCAATGTTTACCTGCCAACTGAATCCCAAAGCTCTCCAGAGAATAGCCAGACAACCGTCGCAGTTGGTGAAGGCATTGTGCTCTTTTCAGAATGAGCACCACTTGTTTGATAGAAGTCCTAGACTAGCTCTTAAGTCTATACACCATTCCATGCTTAATTTCATTCACCAGAGCCAATTTGAAGCTCTTAAAGTTTTCAAGAAAAAAGTTTCAAATGGGTCTCTCAGAGATTGATGAGGTTGCCATTGCGCTAGCTCTCAAGACATTTGGGTCTCAGTTACATAGTCTTACTATAAGAAGTGGATTCTTTTCTTATATTACCTTCCCGAATTCATTGATGAATATGTATTCCAAATCTACACAGTTCAGTCATGCCATGCTTATTTTTGAGGATATGGAGAAGCTATTTTGAGGTTCATTGAAATGGTTAGAGAAGGCATGAAACTGGATCATGTGTCATTAACTACTGCAGTTTCAGCTTGTGGGCAGCAAAGAGATTTGGAATTCATAAAATGCATAATACCTGAAGAAAAAGTAGACCTCATTTGACAATGGTGAAAAAAAAAAAAATTATTGGTGGAGTTAAACGGTGCCACTAACAGCACCCCATGAATTATATCAATTAACGGCACCCCAATAATTATATCAATTAAACGGTGCCACTAACGGCACCCCAGAAAAAAATTTGATTGGTGGAGTTAAACAGTGCCCATCACCTCAGCAATTATATCAATCGTTATATCATGTACCAGGGCGCCCCGCCCGGCTCAAAACGACGTCGTTTTGTTAAGTTGTATGGGGAGTTGACGCGACGGACACTATTTTATGTGTATTATGTTAAGAGTTTATGCGTACTATGTTAAGAGTTTATTTGTATTATGTATGTTAAAAGTTAAGAGTTTATGTGTAGTAATTATTTTAAGAGTTTATGTGTATTATGTTAAGAATTTATGTATATTATGTATTATGTTAGATTATGTGTATTATCCTTTCAAAAAAGATTATGTGTATTATGTTAGGAGATTATGTGTATTCTATTATACGATTTTGTATATTCTATTACACAATTATGTACACTCGAAACGGGGGATTTTTTTTAAGAGCTAAGAGTTTATGTGTATTATGTTAAGAGTTTATGTGTACTATGTATTATGTTAGATTATGCGTATTATCCTTTTAAAAAAGATTGCGTATTATGTTAGGGGTTTATGTGTATTCTATTATACACTTATGTATTTATGTACATTCGAAACATGAGATTTTGTTTTTAGAAGTTAACAGCAGAAACGGGAAACGTAATTTCTAAAAAAAAAAAAAACAGATACAAAACGATGTCGTTTTTGGCTAGGGCGCACAATGCATTGTCCGCCCTGGTGCATGATATAATTTGCCGTCAAATATCATGGACCATGGTCTAAAAACTGCGTCATTTCTTTAAGTAAAGAAACGGTTGTTGTTACAGCTTAACGGAGTTCGTATTTTTTGTGTATTAATTACAAAATGAAACTACAGTGTATCTAAAATGAAACTGCCTCACATATTGTTTTTATATTATCAAATGAAACTGTAATTGAATTGAAATGAAATTGTAGTTGTGTTGAAATGAAACTGCAGTGTATATAAAATGAAACTGAATAACAGTTTCACATATTTGAGTATATATTGTTCAGTGAAATTGTAGTTATATATATAACGGATAAGTGAAAAAGAAATCTTATGTGACAAATTAAATAGGATTTAATTTCATCCATTGATTCAGTCTAGATCCTGTTCATATACTTTCTCAACCTACTGAAACACAAAGAACCAATAACGCCTCCACTGAAGCTCGAACTCATAACCCTCCAAATGGAAGTCCAACCCGGATACCATTAGACGGCAAATTATGCTGGCAAATTATGCTCTGGACCCGTGTCCACATTGAATTGTGGACACGGGCCCAAAACGACGCCGTTTTTTAAAAAAAAAACGCGTCATTTAGTTAAAAAAAAAAAAATTCGCGCGTGTTTTGCCGTTAACGGCGTTAACGGCGTTATTTTTTTTTTTGATTATGAATGTACAGTTATGCCGTTATGAATGTACAGTTATGCCGTTATGAATGTACAGTTATGCAATTATGAAATTATGAACACAGAGCTCTAACATTATGAACTTACAATTATGAACATATATAGTGATAAAATTATGACCATGGAGCTTTAAAATTGTGAATATAGAGCTTCGAAGATTATGAATGTACAGTTATAGAGTTATGAATCTACAGTTATGGAGTTATGAATCTACAGTTATGAGATTATGAATCTACAGTTATGGAATTATGAATGTACAGTTATTGATCGAATTATGAACAAAGAGCTCTAACATTATGAACTTACAATTATGAACATATAGTGATAAAATAATGAACATAGAGCTCTAAAATTGTGAACATAGAGCTTCGAAAATTATGAATGTACAATTATGGAGTTATGAATGTACAGT